GTACCGCACAAAGTTGCAAGGGAGCAATTGCATGTATCATGTTCAAAAGGCCTGCTTGCTTGCAGTTACGGGTTCAGAGAACCATGAGAAGTCCTGGTAAGGGAACCATCACGACTCGCATGTTGTGGGGTCCGTTTCTCGGGGATTTTGGCGCGAGGCCCGTCTGGGAGTCGGCGCCAAAGTAAAGGACCTTTCGGAGTACTGCCAGCGTGACCCAGACGTCCAGGCCGCGGGGGTTGCATTGGTTACAGGCTCGCTGCAAGAAAAACCCGGAGAGACGCGGATGCTTCAAACCCATTTCCCCAACCAAGAGGTCGCAGATTTTTCTCCCCCTGTTGCACACGCACCCTCGGAGGGACAACCCAAAGGAGATGGTTTCTGCAGTTGCGGCTCAAGCAAGTTTAGCTCAGTCCTCGAGTTCCTGGACTTTAATCACTTTGGGGGGCTGGACCATTTTTGTGGTAAGTAACAAGATTTGGGGTACTTGGCCAGTCGCACTCGATCGGAAGCGGGCATGGGCAAAAAATATATATCCACCAGGAAGTGGACTGCAGGTTTTAGTCCTTTCCACTTAACCAGGGTTCCCGAAATGGGTGCAGGTCATTCGGGATGTGGGCTTTACTTTTTGAGCTTCAGATCTATTTTGGGCTCCCCTCCCTCCCCAAGCCCCATGAAGCCAGGTTCCAAATTGACACACTTTCGCTTCGGGACCCAAGATTCAGCAATTTGCTCACATCTCAGCCATGCACAGAGAGAACTCAGTGACAGTTTCCCATGCTTTTGCTGTGAAACGAAGTCTCAAACAGCAAACCGTAAACGAAGGTGGTTTGCCGGTGTTCGGACTGTGGAGGTCTGTTTGAACGCATCCTGATTGTGTGGGCAGTTTTTTTTTCGACACGGGTGATGAATCTCTCCTTGGGAGCCACATCAAGCATGTTTTGCCAGGGAACAGCAATCTCATCATGTCAAAGCATGTAGTGTATTCCCCCTGTTACAGTATCATACTCGATTCATCCTTTTGTATCGCAGGAAAAGAAGGACATCTCAGTCTAAAGTTCAACATTACCGAGATGGGACAAGTTTCCAAGCTGACGCAGTCTTTCTTTTCGCAGCCGCGTCAGTCGTCATTGCCATGGAAGGTGACGGTAGGGCCAGGGTGACGATCACGGACAGTGCGGCTGGAGTTGAATATGACCTCGAAGACTATAAAGTTGGACATATGGTGGAATATTCTGAAACACCCAAGGTTAGCAACAGCTGGATGCCTGCTCAGATCACAAAGGCCCTTGATGCTGGCTCCGCAACCGTGCATGTTGGGATGGGCAAATTTGCGGGCGCGGATAGTGCATTCTCTGCTGAGGATTTTCCATCCCTTTACACTGACGGGGAAAACGGCGGAGAGTTTAATGGGTTTCTGTACCAGTTGAAAGGGGCGGGAGTGAAACCCATGCAGTGGTTTCCTACCGAACAGATGCGGCCTCTCGACCTGTTCCCGAAGGGTAGTCAGAGTCTATTGCGTGGCAATGGGTCGAAACACAAAGGCGGAACGTGGCAGCCGTTCAACGTGGGTGAGCGCGTGTTTTGCAAGTCTAGCGACGGAGGAACTTGGATCGAGACGACGATCCTCGCAGTGGTGCTTGATGAAGACGGCAGTGGTTCTGTCATGTACGACGTCAAACGCACAGAATCATCGGATGTGTCGCTGCTTCGCGTCTCAAGCTCGAGTCTGATGCCAGTGCGGGAAGGTCCTGAGAGGGCGGGTCTTTCCACTCGGGGGCAAAGTTTAAGTCCGGGAAAATGGGCGGACAACTCCGAAACGGCTGTGATTTGCGCGAAGCTTCTGGCGGACGTGGCGGATGTGGAAAGACAGCAGGACGTGAACGACGAGCAGCAGAATACCTTGGCATGGTGCAAGGAACAAGGATACGACTACAGCTAATGTAGCAGTACTGCAACGCATTGGACTACACTGATTTGAGTGCGACTGTTGTGCGCGCTACAACGCAAACTAGAGGGGTAAGATTATGAAAGCAATTGACAGTTTGTTTCTTTTTTTTTCCGAATCTGCGCGCATTACAACACCAATGCCGAAAGCGGCGCGCACTTGACTTCTTACAACTGCTGGACTAGGAAGCGGAAGCACAAAACAAGCAAATATAAATACAGTTGATCGTGCGTTCGCAGAAAACAGCTCTGGATGGTGGACATCAGCCATGCTGTCGCGGACATTCGGATGGTTGAGTCTATGCTGCCCTCGCGAGACCTCTAGGTCACAATGGAGGAGCCACGGCCACGGCCACGCAGACGCTTGTTTTGAAAAAGTCGCTAGCCCGAAAAAAGTCGTTCTGCCGGCCATTTGCTGTAGCTTTATGATCAGAATGTTTGCACATGCATTGCCAGGTTGTCAGTTACTTTATGATCGAAATTCATGTCCATATGTTAGGGTTGAGACGTTCGCCTGATATCATTATGTGTGTCAATCACAAGTTTGGGGAACATTCATTCTCTGCAATCGCAATACATATGATTATTCGCAAGAAGTTTTGACTTTTACCCTCCCGTCCACTAACATAGAACCTGACTGAGAGGTCCGGGGACGGGGAGACTATGTTGTTTTTAACGGGACCCTCTGGTGGGTTCCATGTTAGTGGACAGGAGGGTATTCTTGATTATTTGTTTGTTCAAGAAGTTTAGACTTAATTTAATTGGTAGGAGTCACTCCAAGGCATTTATGGAGAAATCCTTTGCGATTGCCAAAACATAAATGATGATGTGAGCCACGTCCTCAAAGCCCGGTTAAGGGATAATCAACCATAAATGGGTGCCTTCCCCGTCTTTCTAATTCTTGAAGCATGGTTCCGGGCCCGACCATTTTTACTAGGCATCGGTGATTACGGCTCACGTGTCAGGTCCGTTTGTTTGAAAGATTCATCTTCTCGCGCTTGTCAAGTCGCGGTCTGTTTCCTTCGGGATGTTTTCTCATGCGGGCGGCGGCTGTTTTTGCTCTGAATCTGCGAGAAGGCGTCAGTGTTCTTGGCGTGCGATGCGAGTGCAATGGGATTTGTAACACATGAATCTATTTCTGAAACCATCCAGTGGCATCCGCTACAAAGACGCGATCGAGGAGTCTTCACTAGCATGTCCATATATCATGGAATTGTCACGGTGAGTCGTGGTGAACATTGTGTGTAAGTTGTGTGTGTGTGTGTGTGGGTGGGTGTGTTTGTGTCATTTTAATTTGCAATGTCAGCCAGCGAATAGCGAACAGTTTCTTGATCTAGAGGAGGAGGAGAGGCAATCACGACCAAAGGCAGGAAGACGGAACAACCGCGAAACAAATCGGAAATCTGCGAACAAGACTGGATGCCCTTATTTGATTTCTCGTCATTCCGCGTCACCGTTGATGCAGACAGTTCAACTCCCATGAAAAGAATGGTTGACACAATTTATTTGATGACAATCTTTAGATAAGACAATGGTGCTTACCGCCTTCTATTTCCCATAGGACTGGACTCTCCTTTATATCAGTTTCATACATATATATATATATATAGAGATACAGAATACAGTGGACTAAATGTGAATTCAAGACTGGAGTCTCCATGACCCTTTAGAAATGCGGTCCTGACCTCTTTCTTTTGTGCACCGAGCCCCATTTTTTACTGGTCAGAAGGAGACTCCATTTGTCTGTGGGTCAAAAACAATGGTACCATTTTGGGGTAGGCGCACCACCCATTTTAGTACCTATTTTAGTGGGGATTGGGATGTTCACTTGGGGTACGGGATATTGGCTTTGGACCCTGGCCATTTGTTAAGGCTCAGAAGGAGACTCCCTGTGACCCCAGTGGCCCTTGATAGGTGCACGTCAGCAAGAAGGGCGAGCTGGTCACTCTGCACGGGCCAAACAAGGCGAGGGCCGTGGGCGCTTCGCGTTGCTGCGTGTCTGTTTTTGGAGACGCCTTGCCCAGTGGATCCATTTACCAAGTTTTGTAGGGAACCAAGGAAGCCATCTGAAACATAACAACCAGAAGGACAAATTGCGAGGGGTCGCCTAGCATATGGGCCACATGGGTAACTGGGGTCCGCTGGGTTGCTTTTGGCTTGCTGGGTGCCAAATGGCGTAGATAGCGCACACTTTGGAAGATTGCCCTAGAGCCCTAGCGGAAACCAAGAGGGGATGGACATGTTTTTGCTTTTGCAGACCCCTATTTTTTTTGCACCCAGCTTGTTTTAAAGGGACAACACATGGGGACAACCCATTGGCTACCAATTGTTAGCATTCTCTCAAAGAGCGACACAGGCGAAACCGCTGTTGTTTGGGTGGATCTCCATGTCACCGATGTTGGGGGAGTCCGAAATTGGCAGACAAGCTGAGCCGGCCCGTCCAGCACTTTCTGGACCCCAGGACACAGCACCCATTTAGTGGACCCTGGAGGTAACCCATTTGACAAGTTTGTCCATTTAACATTTGTCCCTGTAAGTTTGCTTGGGTCAAAAAACGGTCGCGAAGCACGTCTTCGGTAGCTTGTCCCTTTCCCATCTTGCTCATTACCCAAAAAGCCTCATGACGCGGCCGTGACCCCGGTCAGGAGGGTCCAGGTAGATGTGGGTATGGGAAGTTAAGCCATCAGGGGAGTGCATTTTTTAGCGCTTGGTTCCGTTTCGCGGGGTTCCATGTTGGGCACCCATTTTTTGTCCACACCCATATGCGTTGCCGAAAACAAATCGGCACAAGTTTTGCGACAGCACCGGGTGACTCCAGGCCGTATAATTCACCTCAATCAAACCCCCTCAGGTACTTAGACCCTTTAGGTTTAATTTAGGTTTACTTAGACCCCTCAGATATTTAGGTCTAAAACCCTTTAGGTCTAATCCGGTTTGACTACCTTCTTTTTTGGTGCTGCCTCCATCAAGTCGTCACACAAAAGTGCGACAACACGCCGCCTGCCAGGCGCGGGTCGGGACCTTGGCCCACCGGCTGCTGAAGAAGATGCAGCCGAGGTTGATGCCCTACACCCACAAGGGCCCGGAACTCGGCTTCCGGCGAGAGCGGCAGCGGAGTGCTAGGCGTTTCGCTGCAGGCCACCAGGGTTTCCTACCTCTCCCTTTAAATAGACATGGGTCGATGACCAAGCAGGATTTTGGGAGATGACCAGCCATTTTTCAAGGGTCATGGAGACTTTATTTGGTGGCGAAATCCAGAGATCGCGCCAACGTTCGGAAACCCTGGTTTCTGATTCGATTCCCTTGTCAATATAAACAAGCACAAGGGCCCGGAACTCGAGAAACGGGTTGGTGGGCAACCCGAAATCCAGAGATCGCGCCGTTCGGAAGCTCTGCAATGATGAGTCCCCTGTAAATACCAAGCAACAATGGTTTCAACCATGGTTTCAAAGTGGTGTACATCGACAGCGGGTGCCTGTTTCTGAGGAATTGAACACTGGCCACTGATGGATCCTCGCAAGAGGGATGGTTTTGGCTTCTTCTCTTGACTGCTATTGGGTTGGATCTTTAGACTTTAACTTTTAAAAATATCAAGTGGTTTCCCACGAAACCCGCAAAAAGTTAAACTTTTTGCAGGGGGGTCAACAGCAACCAAGTTCTTGGCATCGTGTTCTTTCTACAATCGCCCAGTGCTTCCAGGCGTTTCGCGACTATAGTAGGTATCCCTTCGGCTTCCTTACCGTTGGGTTTTCCCATGGATGGTTTCCCTTGCCTATGAAAGTGGCGCTTTCGCCTGGAAGCAAATAGGAGAAAGCACCCGAAACAACAGGCTGGCTAGGGCTCAACAAAGTGAGCATTTTGAAGATTGGTAGAACTGCGTGTTGGGTACCAATTGTTGACTGTCACTGTAATAATCCCAAGCAAAGTCAGGCAGCATCCACATTGAGACATGTTGGTCTTGTTTGCTTCAATCTGCTCTCCGGATGGCCAGCATGTGAACTTGTTTTGCGAGAGAGAGCGGAAATTAGGATAAGCTGAGCCCATGATTTCACTATGCCTATTATCAAAGACACCCCCGAAGAAGTGTGGGTAACTGGCACCACCCAAGTTTCTGACGTTGATACCCCCCGGAAAGAGGCAAAATACTGACCCCGTTTAAGGGCTCTCGAGTCTGAAGTTGCGATTGCTTTCGCTGGCTTTCTCATCCAGTGGTCCCTCAGTTTACCAAATAGAATTCACCGCCAAGCTCGCATCAGAGTTTGTAAGCTAGATGTTAGGAAAGCAACTTGCGGGAGACACGTATAGCTTCGGGGCAAAACACGCCTAGCTGTTAGCTCTAGCAGTGTGGTGAGCGGATCAACATGCGTTTGTGTTTTGATTACTTCAGAATGACATGCTCTGGATCAATCTCAAGCACCTTTGGAACGCTGCAAGCAACATGACATGCTTGCTTGACAACGGGGCAAAAGTTTGCTGACTGCTTGGGGCTTGTTGCTGGTTGCATAATCTGCGTTTATGCGAGCAGGTATCGTTGTCAGTGTTGGATGAAAATGAGGGCCCGCCACAAGCACCAGTGGGACTGATGGCCCCAAATGGATCGCGGGCTAATAGCTCCCATGTTACAGTCCGTATGCCAAGAGTGGCCATAGGCTTGCATGCTTTGGTGCTTGTTCTTGGAGTGTCCATTGGTCAGTGAATTTAATCAAACTATGGATTTTTATGCTGCAAACAAAGACCAGTACTTTGTTTTTGTGTTTTGTTGTTTCCCCCGGGATCCCCAAAATGTTGTTTTCCTGTTGGTTCCCCTTTAAACAACACAAATATGGGGTACCCTCAAAAAAGATACACCCCCTATGGCTCATGCAGATACGCAAGGTGCGCACTTCGCCTTCCACCCAGTGAAGAGGAAGGCTGTGAGGAAGAAATGAGATGCGATCGCAGGTTTCACATGTACAAAGGATGCGCGGCAATCGGAGGTTTCAAGCTTATATTTTTCACCAACCCAAACATGGACACGGACACAGGGCCTGTTCAAGAAGAGGGGGGCCAGTTCAAGCGTTGGAAAGAGGGCATGTGTACATATATATATATATATATATGTATATCACATTGACAAGCAGATTGGACCATTGCATTTGTTCAGACACTCGGCGTGGCCCCGTGCACAAAAGGCGCCATGCTCAAGGCTTGGCTCAGCGTCAGTGGGCGTAGCCACGTGCTGCTGGGGTAGGCATTCCTGATTATGTATATAGTCGTGTGTATATAAACATACCTACATATAATACATATGTATATATATATATATATATACATACACATGTACATGTATGTGTGCATATATATATATATACACCCTTCCACCAACAAACGCAGAAGTGCACAAACCCTTTGTTGCGAGACTAATTCCTGTAGCAAATGGAGTTTGTCCGCTTTCATGATTGTTGGTAGGTGGGTGCATATGCATACCTCTGTAAATAGATGGGCCAGGGTATTTATTTCAGCTGAAGCCCGTTGAGCTCTTCGAAAGTAGTGAGTGAACAAGCAGGGGTTTCTGTCACAGGGCTGCTCCAGCCGTTCCTAAGATGGCAAAGCCCGCAAAAAGGGTTTCCGTTGGTGTCCTTTGGTTTGCCAAGCCTCAATCGAAATTGATCAACCTTTTTGTTATTTCCTTCAAGCTAAAAGCCTCATTTGGTAGCGACGCTGTACCGCGACCACATGCAACTACCCCAGACCTCTAGTGGGCTCCCTTGCTTCTCTTTGAATGGGTTCCCTACCAAAAGAACCGAGCGCTTTGGTTTGTTCGTCCCACTCCGCTAGGCCAAAGACCCGCGAAGGGTTTCTGCTCACTAGCAGGGGTTCGTGGAATTATTCTAATCTGGGAACAATAGATTTCCCAGATGGCGATGCTTCCTATTTCGAGATCGGTTGTTTCAAAGGAAACACCGATGCCTGTCCCTAATATGCTTGAGCAGCCATCAGTTTGGCTGACCCGGTGCTTCCAGGCGCTTGCCGCTATAGGCAACCCTCCGGTATGGCTCCTGAAAGCACTGGGTGAATGCAGCTTGCCATCTATGAAATCTATCGAATTCCCGCTCGTGGCCTTTGGGCCACCATCGGGGTTCCCAGCCCTCCGTTTTGTTTCGGTTTTTAGGTGTTTTGGTTTGTTTTTTTCCATTTAACCCACTAATGGTTAAACTTTTAGCAGGGGATCTGAGGACAGCCTGGTTAGAGGGTGGTTTCATGCATCACCCTTCACGTTCTTTGGGGGAGTGATGTTCGGGGCAATATGGAGAAGCCCGACTATTTCCGGGGGGTCGGTGAGTCCGTAAGTCCTTGGCCCTCCCGTAGAAACGGGATGGGTCCAGAGAACTGAGTTGGGTCAGGTCCGCATATCGACAAGCCTCAGCGTTCGAGCGAATGCATGCGCAAACTGCGACAAGCACGCGGTCTCGGAAATCCACTGTGTGATAGATACCCCCAAGCGTTAAAACTTAGAGCATTGGCACATGAAACATAAAATCGGATTTCAGGCTGGCCACAAGGCTAGCCGTGCCTTCCAACTGGTTCTAGGTTCATTTCGTAGGTGCTCCTCTGGCGGTTGCTGAATTGGAAGGCTACTGTCGGACTGTCGAGCGTTGGTTGGCCATTTCATCAACCGCCATGATAGCATCGAAATCCGGAGGACCTTATTCTTCACACGACCGTAGAATAGATTGTGTCCTGACCAAAATGACCTTGCCACACCTGGATAGTACGTTCCCTCTCTTTCCGGAGATAACCTAGCTTCCCCACGACACCTTTCTCGCAGGTTTCTATCCACCGCCATTGGCTGCAGCGAGGCCGGGTTGAGATTCCCGCGCCGAAGTGGAACTCCTTCTGGGGCTGAAGGCAAATCAAAGGAAGCCACCCTTGTCAGGGGTTCCGATTCCTTTGACACAAGCCCAAGTTGAGCCAGCGCGTGATGTGTCATCATACCAAGGGCTGCACATATACAAATTACAGCATACCAAGTGGACCTTGGGAAATATACAAATGCACCACTTGGAGAGGACTTTTTCCAACCCAAGGGCTGCAAGGACATTTGTGCATTGCAGCTGAAAACACGCGCCTGGATCGGACACCTGAGGTCTACAACACTTTACCACCGTCATCGGTTGCATGCTGTGAGGCAGGAGTTGAGATAAGATCTTGAAGTGGGTGTGTCTTGTTTTGGAGTTGGGTGGCTTTTAAAGGGAAACCAAAGGAAAGCCGCCATTTTAGTGGGTCCCCCCAAGAAGAGACACGTCCAGATGGTGTTCTGCCAGTTTTGCATCCAACAAAGACGGCTCTCATTGCAGCTGCGCAGGCCATGGCTGCATGCTGTGAGGCACGAGTGCCAGCGTGTCCGGTTGCAATTTCTCTAGCGACTGACATGAAGGTTCAATCCATGGATTCTGAAAGATCTGGATTTGAGATTGATGCTTGCTTGGCCCCAGTAAATTGTCAGTTGGCTCAAGAAATGGTACCCGCAACGGCCCTTAAATGGAAAGAAAGACCACCTGCAAATTGGCCCTGACTCTTCAATATTGAGCCAGACCCAATTTGAAGGCAGAGAGTCAAAGCCTATGTGTTCACTGGCAGGCCTGTGGCCTCACGACCGTCATTGGTATGCATGCAAGCCGCTGCTCAGAGTGATTCATGGGCAACACGCCACGGGGATTTTTCAGGGGCCCCCAGAATGCCTGGTTTTCCATTTGGTGTCATTTTAAGCCGACCCGACAAAAAGTACCGCCAAACATCGACACACTTTATGGGTTTGTTGTTTTTTTTTGGTTGTTTTGAAGTCAAAAGGGACCGTGCACAATATGGGTCCCTGTTGGTTTGTGTTGCGAGATCTTGGGAGAAAGTTTGATGCTGCCCTGAGGGCCAATCACTGCGCGACAATTTAAGGGAGTGCACTGGCGAATGGCGGTTGCAAGATTTGAAGTCTTAGGAAATGTGTGGTTGTTCTCCTGTCTTTCTGTCTTGCATGCACTTTGCTGAGTGTTATTTATTGACTGCTTGTGGGCAGGGTTTCTGTTCATTTTAGTCGCATTTATCTGAAGTGCTGCGAATGTGGGATTTCAGGAAGCCATGCCATGGACAGCTAAAAGCTTGTCGCGGCGCATCACGGAGCTCACGTTCGAGTCACCACTGCCACTGCGTGACAGTGGCTATATTGAGGCAGGAGTGCACTGGTGAATAGCGAGATTTTGAGCTTTAGGACGTGTGAATAGTTGTTCTGTCTTGCAGGTTGTCGCATGCCTGTTTCTGTCCATGTCAGCCGCATTTATCTGAAGTGCTGCGAATGTGGGATTTCAGGAAGCCATGCCATGGACAGCTAAAAGCTTGTCGCGGCGCATCACGGAGCTCACGTTCGAGTCACCACCGCCACTGCGTGACAGTGGCTATATTGAGGCAGGAGTGCACTGGTGAATAGCGAGATTTTGAGCTTTGGGACGTGTGTATAGTTGTTCTGTCTTGCAGGTTGTCACATGCCTGTTTCTGTCCATGTCAGCCGCATTTATCTGAAGTGCTGCAAATCTGGGTTTTCAGGATGCCATAGAGGGCGAATGTCACCACTGCGTGACCATTGAGGCAGGAGTGCACAGGACCCATGACCTCCCCCGCAAAGAACAAGCCCTCCCCCCCAACATTGTTTCAACATTGGGGCGAGTGGCTCGAAGGTTTGGAGATTCGCATCAACAAGCACAGAGCTACTGTGGATGGACAAAATCCTGCACCGCTTGGAAACCATGAAAACCATTGTTTATTGAAATTAAAGGGGAACTCTCATTCCAGGGTTCCTTAGGTGGTGCAGGATTTCGTCCATCCACAGTAGGGATGGTCCAAATGAGTTAGTGCACTGGGCTGTTCAAAGGTGCGCGAGATTCTTGGGGTTATTCAAGGAACTTGTCCCTTAGTGGTAGCTTTCCTTTTTGGATTGGGACTGGCCAAGACTCCGTTTTGAACATTTTGGCAATTGTGATAATGTCAACCTAGGATTAATAAAGGAATTGTGTTAAACCAGCCCCCACAGGACCCCCCAATACTGCACAATTTGAAGAACTGGAATTGAACCGAACTCCCAGCAAAGTTCCCAAATGCAGGAAGCCGCGCCGTTCAAATCCCCAAGAATCCGCGGTGATACAGTGATACAGCTGCTCTTTTGCTTTTTTCACGCTGCTGGCCTCACCTAAGCCTTGCTGACCATTTGCTTTCCATTTGCTTTGCTAAGAGAAGCTTCCGGTGCCAGCTTTGCACTACTCTGTTGCCCAGTGGCGCCAATTATGTTTTTCTTCTTCTTCTTTTTTTTGGGGGGAAGGGCTCCCTTTTTAAACTTGATCAAGCTAAAAAGGAGGTCCTTTTATTCTGATGGCCACTCGGAATCTGAGACTAGCACAGCCACGCTCTGCCAACACAAACATCAAACGAGCTCCCTGGAAGCCAACACGTGCTCTCTGAAATGCAATGTCTTTCTCAAGTCACTTTCATTTATTGATTTGAGAAGGTCACATGAGGTACACATGAGTGCCCAGGCCATGTTAATGTGGGTTCACATGTTTGGGCCACACCCAATTTTGAGCTCCAGCAATGCTAATCTAAAGGAAAGTGAAATCCCACAATACCAAATTAACCGGACACTCCAACGAAATCAACAGGAAGGTCCAGCAATACTAAATCAACTGGACACTCAAATCAAGATTCAACAGGAGGCTCCAGCAATACTAAATCAATTGGAAAGTGAAATCCCACAATACTAAATCAACTGGACACTGAAATCAAATTCAAAAGGTCCCCCGAGCAATACCAAATCAAAATGCATTTCAATTCCACAGATACTAAATTCAATGGCATCTCAAATCCAACAATAGAAAACCAGATAAGTGGAAGCTCAAATCAAATTCAAAACGAAGCTCCAGCAACACTAAAACAAATGGAAACAAGAACCGAAGCTCATTTTGGAATTCTTCTGGAGCTCTTGGATCCTCATGCCCAGTTCAAATGTAGTATTGCCCAATACTAAAGTAGTAATTCTTGCCCATTTCCAAAGTAGTATTGCTGATTTCAAACGTAGTGTCGCTCAATACCAAAGTAGACCTGCATGCTTATTCCCCACCCGACAGGAAATGTTGGAACCCGCGTTTGCGATGCTTCTACACCACGTCCCCCACCCAGTATCCCGCCAGAGGAGCTCGCCAGTGGATCCCGCCAAGTATCCCGCCAGAGCAGCTCGCCAGTGGATCCGGCCGAGTATCCAGCCAGAGCTGCTCGTCAGTGCATCCCGCGCAGTATCCCGCCAGAGCTGCTCGCCACTGGATCCCGCCGAGTATCCCGCCAGAGCAGCTCGCCAGTGGATCCCGCCGAGTATCCCGCCAGAGCAGCTGGCCAGTGGATCCTGCCCAGTATCCCGCCAGAGCAGCTCGCCAGTGAATCCCGCCGAGTATCCCGCCAGAGCTGCTCGTCAGTGGTATCCCGCCAGCCGAGTATCCAGCCAGCCAGAGCAGCTGGCCAGTGGATCCCGCCCAGCATCCCGCCAGAGCAGCTCGCCAGTGGATCCCGCCCAGTATCCCGCCAGAGCTGCTCGATCCCGCCCAGTATCCCGCCAGAGCTGCACGCCAATAAATCCTGCCGAGTATCCCGCCAGAGCGGCTCGCCAGTGGATCCCGCCGAACATCCCGCTGAGTATCCCAGAGTAGCTCGCCAGTGGATCCCGCCAAGTATCCCGCCAGAGCAGCTCGCCAGTGGATCCGGCCGAGTATCCAGCCAGAGCTGCTCGTCAGTGCATCCCGCGCAGTATCCCGCCAGAGCTGCCCGCCAGAGCAGCTCGCCAGTGGATCCCGCCGAGTATCCCGCCAGAGCAGCTGGCCAGTGGATCCTGCCCAGTATCCCGCCAGAGCAGCTCGCCAGTGAATCCCGCCGAGTATCCCGCCAGAGCTGCTCGTCAGTGGTATCCCGCCAGAGCAGCTCGCCAGTGGATCCGGCCGAGTATCCAGCCAGCCAGAGCAGCTGGCCAGTGGATCCCGCCCAGTATCCCGCCAGAGCAGCTCGCCAGTGGATCCCGCCCAGTATCCCGCCAGAGCTGCTCGATCCCGCCCAGTATCCCGCCAGAGCTGCACGCCAATAAATCCTGCCGAGTATCCCGCCAGAGCGGCTCGCCAGTGGATCCCGCCGAACATCCCGCTGAGTATCCCAGAGTAGCTCGCCAGTGGATCCCCGCCGAGTATCCTGCCGGCCAGTGGATCCCGCCAAGTATCCCACCGGAGCAGCCCGCCAATAGATACCGCCGAGTATCCCGCTGAGTTTCCCAGAGTGCATCCCGCCGAGCATCCTGCAGAGTAGCTCGCCAGTGGATCCCGTCGAGCATCCCACCAGAGCAGCCCTCAGTGGATCCGCCGAGTATCCCACTGAGTATTCCGGAGTATCTCGCCAGAGCAGCTCGCCAGTCTGGTTTTGCTCAATGTCCCGCCCGGCGCACAGTTGGGTTTACATTTCACGTTGAAGTCTGCGTATTTTGAGTGTGCCCAGAGGCTCGGAGAGGGTGATGCTTTTGTGTTGTTTTGGGTTGTGAATAAGCAACTTCGTTTAGTCCCCCGTCAGGTTTCTTTTTGAGTTCTCGAGATCGGCTCGCAGACAAGTGGAAGTGGCCGACGGGAAGGGACGGGGCTGATGGGAATCTAGGATGCGGAGGAATTTGTTGTTACGGTTGCAAGCTCGTGAGTGGGTTGCTCGAAGCGAAGTCATTTCAGCGTCAGTTTTTTCAGTCCTTATTCTCAAGGGTGGGTTTATAATCCGATGTCAAGCTCATGTGGGAATCCTCGGACGCTGGCCTCTCGCAGCCCTGTACAGTTTCCTTTGCCCAAACTTGGCCTCTTTGAACCCATGGCGAAGTTGGTGGTCCTGCTGGTCTTGCTGCTTGTCAAGGCGCGAGCAACGAAGTTACAGAAGCAGTCTTTCCTTGGCTCGGGGAGCTAGCGGGCGGGGGCCCAAGTTTCCCCTTACCAGGTTCCCACCGACTGCCTCATTACCTTTCGGCATGCAGCCCCCAATTTCCAGGGCCGACCGCCCCTTTTGCTCAGACTCCATTCGCTTGCCCCAGATTTGTTTCAACCCGCGAGACAGGCACCGCTTTGGCTATGGGTCAAAGTTCAAGCCAGGGGACCGCAGGTTTAGTCATTTGGGCTTTCTTTGAAAAATATTCCTCCCTTGTTTTTATTGATACGTAAACCAACAGAAGCTTCGTTCCGCTGCTTTCGACCCAATGTTTTCCCTTTGAAATCTTCACCGAGGGTTGGATCAAGCCACGCAACAGGGGAAACAGACAGGTGGAGCTCTTGGCAAGTAGTCCTAATCTTACATTTGCTTAAGAATATTTCCCCTGTTGGCGGAACCTACTACTGGACATATGCTCTTTTTTTTCCAGGGGACTTGTCAGCAAGATGGAGGCAATGTGTTGGTTGATGTATTGGTTACAAGTTACAACCTACTTAGGATGAACATCCAAGTTATTGATAACCATTGGCTTTCGCATGGAAGTCATGGGGTGTTCGGATTGTGTGTGTGTAAACAACAACAACAGATACGTTGTTTTACAATCCTCGCCTGGAACCGGGGAAAGCTAGCGATTCTCTTGTGGCCTTTTGAAGAAAGAGCCCAACTGTATTTGTTGAGAAGCCCCGAGAGAAAAGCATTTGATTGTTCCTGCTTTTGTTGGTCGGGTTTGAACAAGTGGTAAGTTGATGGCCAGTAGTTTGGTGAGTCAGAGTTTTGCAGGGTTCCCAGTAGTTCCAGTTGGTGAATTATGGCATCTTGCAACCGCCTCCCAACTTGAGGAGGTCTTCCCTTGTCATGTTGTTTGGGAGTCTCATGTTGCTTGTGTCCCTTGCGATATTATGCAAGCAGGGCTCTCGAATGCTTGGAAAGATCATCCAAGCAACCTAGTTGATCAGTGATCTTGGTGGAAACAATGTGAGTGGAAGGGTCTTTGGGGAAATGGGACCATGTTTGCAAACACAAAGTTGGACAATAGGTGGAATT